ACAAGTCTAAGAATCTTACACCAGTTCAGTTATTCAAACTATGTAATGCTTTCAAAGAAAAGTTCTACAGTGGCAGAAACATCTGCTGTGTTATAAACAGAGAACACTGATAACACAATCTTCATTGTAGCTGTTTTACATACAAAGAGGTTTTGTGGAGAATGTTTCAAAGAAAAAATCGCAGATATATTCTAAAATTGACTCTTCTTGAATATTTGTGAAGGTTCAATTTTTTATAAAAGACAATTTTGTTTGTTTTACAGACTCTCTTTGTCAATTTTCCAAGAATCAGGAGGGAGAAAATAATTAAATAAATATAAATGTAAATAAATTTAACAAAATAAAAATACAAAAATATACAAAAATATAAAAATAAATAAACACACAAACATACAACATTAGATAAAATAAATGTTATTTTGGTTGATTTTGGACATAAACCTCGGTGCATCGAGGATAATTTCATTTAGAAAATTGAAGCGACCCTTTTTTTATTTTCAAATGTTATTTCTTCATTTACTTTTACAAATTTTAAGAGCACCCATCCATGAAACAAGTAATATATTATTCTGTCATAAATAATATTGCGGTGAAATTCTGCAAGCTAGCATAATACCCTTCGAAAACAACATGGCTGAATTCGGCTTCGTCAGCTAAATGTGTTATAGCAGTCAGCAAGACCATCTGTAGGCTTGCATGAATAAATTAATACATTATCATTATTTTTTTTAAAAAGTGGGAAAGAAGGTGTTTAATTTGGTTGAAGAACATGATGACCTAATTGATACTTTTAGCTTACATTGAAACTAAACTGTTAATTATACAAGTTACCGTATTCACCATATTAAGTGACAGCCCTTGAGCACCCACGACCAACCTATAGACCAGTATCTAAGTAAACTTGGTAAGCGCCAGGTACTTATCCTGAAAACATTCATGACACTTTGTATATTCTTGTGCATATTACAGATCTTTTTACAGAAAACACATCAGTGTAGAAAGGGTATATACTGCCAAGTAACTATCATCAAAAAGATTCGAGTTTCATGAAGGTTTCAGGGGCGGTCGGGTAGCCTAGTGGTTAAAGCATTCGCTCGTCACGCCGAAGACCCAGGTTCGATTCCCGACATGGGTACAATGTGTGAAGCCCGTTTCCCCCGCCGTGATATTGCTGGAATATTGCTAAAAGCGGTGTAAAACCATACTCACTCTCTCACTCATGAAGGCTTCAACAAATTCCATTCTCTAACGCTCGATCTGACAACTTATGTATTACTTTAATTATAATAATTGTACACTGATACAATTCTGTACATCGGAACTTCAGATTACCAAATATGTATTACATCCTCCGAATAAAGTCGGTCTCTCTTAAGTCAGAGAAATGAGGATTCATGATCAGGACATGATTTAGCCATATATAACATGCACCAGTGCAACCTATTATTGAAAAATGCAGCCTAATATTTATGTCGACGTGGACCAAGTGCATGTAAAACACATTTTATGTACCATACTGCACCATTAAACACTTTTTTTTGTGTATTTGTCCTGCTTTCTTGGGCTTTTCATCAAACTGTGTACTTCCAGATTATGTACACGTATTTTTTTACGTTTCACAGAAATACTTCATCAATTTATGTAAAATCGTGACACAGTCGTTCGAGATCAGAGTGAGTGAGTATGGTTTTACGCCACTTTTAGCAATATTCCAGCAATATCACGACGGGGGACACATGAAATTGGCTTCACACAATGTACCCATGTTGGGAATCGAACCCGGGTCTTCGGCATGATGAGCGAATGCTCTAACCACTAGGCTACCCGACCGCCCCCTCGAGTTCAGAGACGAGTTATAGCATCTCTGTCTCATCGACTTTAATAAATTTATGGGACCAGGCTGCAACCTGGTTTTGTCTTGTGCAACTAGGTTTCATGTCAAGATGCACCTGGTGCAAGTTAAATCAAGTTCCTTAAATCAAGCCCTGATTTTGACATTTTTGTTGTTCAATGTTTATTTCTTAAAATTATCATGGCATGTTCAAGATATGTTCCCTCTCCTTGGACTAAGTGCTTGAGACCAAACAGCCTTGAAATGTACAACAACAAGGAAGTTGAAATCCATCCCATCTTTTTTCTCCAGCAAGTTCCTTCTCCTAAATGTCACGGAGAAGAGAGGCCTCGTGTTCCCCACCATACTTAGGCTAACTCACAGACTAGCATTTAGTCTCTGAAATGAAAATATTTGTTAAAAGCCTTTATAATAGAAAGGAGCCCAGAGAATTCTTCATTTTAGAGGCCCTTAGTCTGTCTCCAAGACCTGTGAGTGAGTGAGTGAGTGAGTGAGTGAGTGAGTGAGTGAGTGAGTGAATATGGTTTTACGCCGCTTTTAGCAATATCACAGCGGAGACACCAGAAACGGACTTCACACATTGTACCCACCCAGACCCTAGAGAATAAATTTAAAAAATGATTCAACTCAAGCCTGGAATGATTTGGC